AAAGATATGTATTTGATATAAATATAGAAACAACGAATTAAACCATGAAATTGGTCTAATTTCCACCGAGGGTTTAATCCAGATCAGAATGTAAAAACCAACCAACTACAGTATTCTCCTCGAGTATTCTCCTGTTACAATCAAACGACAGGGAACTACTCGACTGTAGTTGGTTGGTTCTTACATTCTGATCCGGATTAAATCCTCGATGGAAGGCCATTGTCAATACATTTTATTGTGTTATTAAGTAAAATATGGAGTTTGTAATTCAAAATACTTGCACTTAGATTAAATCAATGTTCATCAACCGTTTTAATATACACTAGTGCGTTCAACCGAATTAAACATATTACAAATTAACAAACAAATTATACATAAAAATCATATAAATAGGTTTAAGAGTGAATCATTATTCTTTGACTATTTTTATATCGACATATTTTTGCATAATCGCCAATTATGCATTTAATAGCGTCAGAGAACGACATGAATGACGACAGACGTTCGCTACAGAGGAGTCACGAAGAATCATCCCGCCCGCCGGTTTTGCGCATGAACGAGCAGTTTCTAAGTACTCCCGCGAGGATGTCACGAAGGAGACACTTGACAGGTCGCCTTGTGGGCGTTCTGCTCCGTTTGCCTTGCTTTATGCCAAGTATAAAAAGCCATCGCGTACGATACCGATTGTCTGACGGTCTTCCTCAACAGCGACGCGCGATGTCGCGTTGAAATCGAAAAACCGCGCGTGTTTTCGCTAGGTACGCTTTAGCACTTGCGTAACGGCAATGAAGACTAATCGAAATAAAAAGATCCTGATCTCGTAAATACAACTGCGTTACGCTTTCTACGCTCAAAATGGAAAACGTACATCTGCATGGAAAATTTAAAGAGTGAGAAGAGAACGTGAAAAAGAGAGCAAGAAAAGAAAAAAGTATAAATGTTTATTTCTATCAACGACTTTGATGATAAAATTCATTTTTCAATTCTTAAATCTACTTAAGAATTGAATATTACGATATTAGAAATCGCTTCGACAATGTGAAAAAGAATGAACAAATCATATTTGAACAATTTGATCATTTGAATAAGATTGTTTATTTCTTTCTCCATCCGAAATTTCAGAGCAATTTTCAGCACCGTGAACACAAGAACTAAAGAAAAATTAAAAAAAGTAATTGAATAAAAATTAAAGTTAATCTATATTAGAAAAACAGGTATAAGAAAGATTCAGGAAGAAGTGTTGATCGATCGAGTACTTATGCCTTTAAGTGGTCACAAGTAACAATTGAGATATTTCTCGCACGAGATTACGAGGGTCTCTGCTATATCATCCGTGTGTGTGAGATTCTCTTTACATTCTTTATGAGCGATACACTCACTCACTATTCTCTCTCTCTCTCTCTCTCTCTCTCCTCTCTCTCTCTCTCTCTCTCTCTCTCTCTCTCTCTCTCTCTCTCTCTCTCTCTCTCTCTCTCTCCCCCTTTCTTTATCGAGAGAATAATGCCATTTGTATGAAAAGTTCGGTTATCCAAAGCTGTTAGAGAAGATTGACACAATTATACAATGTCAAGTTTGCGATACTTACTTGCCGACGAAGTTTTCAAGCACAGAGCTCTTGCCCGCACTCTGACCACCCACCACAGCGATCTGCGGCAGATCGAGCTGCATATGCACACCGAGCTGTGTGAACGCATCCTGCAGCTTGTTCACGATCGGGATCAACTGTTCCATACCCGTGTTGCCCGACATCGTCGCGTAATTTGCGTTACACCGCTCGTATTAACACGCACGCATGCACGTACACACACACACACACACACACACACACACACAACACTCTCTTTCTCTCTCTTTATCTCTTCTCCACAGCTGTGACTCCGATGTGCTTACAGCGCACCACCTGGAGAGCTGCTGCTTTGCCACCGCCCGCACACACACGACCTCCCGAAAAGAGTGGTTGACAGAAGCGAACTCAACTGTACGTTACGAGAGCTAAGCGTGCACTAAGCAAGATGGCCGATTTCCGTGACGCTGTCGCGCTGTGCCCGCCCGCCTGCCTGGCTGATAGCTCTCGTTCTTCTATGGCAAACTTCACCGCATCTTCACCGTCGCAATGACGGTGGCAGCGACACGAATCGCTTGATCTTGCATTGCTCAGTCTCGCTCGCTCACGTCGTGGACGCGCGCGCGCACGCGCGATACGTGAGAAGTGAGATTTGAAATCTCGCTCGTATACGTTACTGTACTATCAATTCCAACGTACGTCGTGTAAAATTTCAGAACATTTATACAGCTTTACGCGACTGTTACTGTACGCGGCGACAGCAGTAGCAATGACGACGATGGATTCTCAATTACTACACTATCTACCACTCGAAGAGCGCGTAAAGTGGTTCAATCGATAATCGAAGCGTGCGCACAAGTCACAGTGCCATCATCGCCATCGCTATCGCCATCGCCGTACGTCGTCGTACGTCGCCGTCGTGACCTACTTTCGCGGCGGTGAGATAAAATCCATATCGTACACGAGTTATCCGTCAACGCGCTGTGACCTTTTTACTCTGCGCATCCCACGTCCGTTCGTTTTAGAGTGGGTATAAAAAGAGTGGCGCCAATGCATGTGCCTAATGCTGATTGACTCCGCTATTAAGTATTCTTACTATTAATTAGAAAGAAGACAACGTTAAAGGGCGCACATAAAATTCTATAACAGTATCGTAGGGTGTAACTTAAGCCGATGAGCCAATCAGGATACTGCTTTAGATTACGTAATCTAAAGCAGTATCCTGATTGGCTCATCAGCTTAAGTTAACACCTTACGTTACGGAATTTTATGTGCGGCAGGCCTGGATCTATAATAAGTATTTGAAGTCTTAAGTTATAAGAAATTGACCAACAGTTGAATGCGAGAAGAATAATTGATTGTGATTCGTCCATTCCTTATGGCTTAAGGAGAGAATATTTTTTGGGCGAAAAAAATTGATTTTTTGAGAAAATTTTTTTCTTTTATCAAAGTATAAAGTCAATATTTTTTTGAATTTTGGAACATTGTTTTACTATATTTAAATGTAATTACTTTTTTTAATTAAATTTGAATCAATATTGTGCCTGTTATATAAAAATCTGATAGCGTTTAATTTTACATAATACATATATTATAGTTATCGTTTGATGACAGGCATAAAAAAATTGATAATTAAGAAAATGGCGATTTATAAAAAAAAATCATCGATTTCGCTCTAAAACTGAATTTTTTGCAATAAAAATAAAAGTATATAACGGATTATTTTTCTTTTTCATCGTATGATAAAAGAAAACTGCATGTTTCCACAACATGCAGTTCAAAGCAGATATCATACCAGTCGCGAAAAAGCTGTTTCGAGAAAAACGCGTTTAAAATTTCAATGCGCTAAGTTATACACCTGCGCGCCTGAATTGGCCTATTGCTTATAACTTCGCTAATTTTACAAATTTCGATTTAAAATTTGCTGTACATATTTTTTTTAACATTTTATGCTATAATATTCCGTTAAAAAAAATCGATTTTTTTTACTCAAAAAATAAAATTTCTCCTTTAAGACTTAAAAATCTATTGTAGGTTCAAAGTTTAGGGCTGCCACAGACAAAAGATTTCTGTAACAGTAATCTTAAGACGTGAACTTAAGCCGATGAGCCAAAGGACTGCTTTAGTTCTACGTACTCTAACGGAAATGGAAATAGCAGTAAACTTATTCATAATATGAGTTTCAACTGGTTGAAACTCGTCTTATTGCGAGGTTATGGATAAGTTTATTGTTATTTCTATTTCCGTTAGATTCCATAGACCTAAAGCAATATCCTGATTAGTTCATCAGCTTAAGTTTATATCTTATGGTCACTATTGCGGAATTTTGTGTGCGGCAGCCCGAAGATGAAGAATTGCGTCATAGTATACGGTCGAGTTGCCATAACGAATGTTTCGAAGCATTTTTTAATTGATCAATTAGTAAAATTTTTTCTTCCAATTAATCAAATGTGGTTAATCAAATGCTTCGAAGCATTCGTAGTAGTAGCAACTCAATCACATTCATATACTGGATTTAAACTCCAACGTGCGTCATACGACGTTCCAGTGTGAATCCAGCAAAAGGAATAAGAGCTGTTGCAATCAAAATTTCTGTAACAGTAACCTTAAGATGTGAACTTAAGCCAATGAGTAAACGCTCAATGAAAACGCACCCTGTAACAGTATGCGTAAAGTGTAAACTTAAGCCGATGAACCAATCAGAATACTGCTTTAGATTACGTGACCTAACGGAAATGGAAATAACAGTAAACTTATCCATAACCTTACAATAAGATAAATTTTAACCGATTGAAACTCGCTTTATTAATAAGTTTATTTCTCTAACCCCGGATCCTCATACAGACAACAGCGTTTTGATACTGATTTTGATACTGAGTGCTGATTAGTGAAAAACGGATCATTGAGGTAAATTTTATACAACCAGCTTTTCACCAATAAGGATCTGAGCTAAAATCTCCATAGCCGTTCAGTGTTGCCAATTTAGCGTTTTTTCCGATAGATTTAGCGTATTTTCGTATCAGTTGGAGTGTAAAAATTATGTTTTCTGGATTTTCTGGATTATTTTAAAAACAGAATTAGCTTATTTATTTTTTAAATAAGCTTATTTATTTTTTAAATAAGCTAATTCACACTGGTCACGATACTCCCGTAAGAATGTCAGGTCGAGTCAGGGTTCTCATTGAGCGTTTTTCACAATGCGACTCGTGACGCACTTAGTGGAAACGAGGCTTTAGATTGGAGGCATATTGCCGAATGCTTGGTCAGATTCATACGTAAAAACCAATCAATCGCTCGACAAGCAGACTAACCATGGTAGAAAGATTACATGGTGTGCAGTTCACAAGTGTCTCTTTCTTTGCTCTCTCGCTTGCTCGGTGACAGATCCCAGGTTAGCCAACCTTAGTTGTTGTCTTCGTCGCACGCACATCATTTAGGTTTTTTTTTTTATTACTACCCAGGCTATCAACATTTGTTCGCGCGCATACTCCTATTCACTTTAACGCGCTCGTTGGAGTGAGGAGTATAATAGTTCTGAACGGTATCTTGACTCGCAAAAGGGGCGTGATAAACTGCACACACCATGTTATCCCTTCCACCATGAGACTAATTGCCTTATCGGGTTAAATGTGTCATTGATTGGTTAACGCATCAATATATATATATATATATATCGTGTAATAACATTGAATCGATCCATGAAATACAGGTCACTATCGCGAGGAGGACTGATCTTTAGGTAAGTCTCATTATTTATTTAAAAATCAAGCCTTTTATTATATATTCTAATCGTTTATTAGCTAGATTTCTTGTTTACGAAGTTTACATCCTGTCTATCTGAACAATAACTGTGCAAACGTAATATAATATAAGATGTTTTTCGAAATATTTATAAGTATTGACCTTCAGGTAAGTCTTATTATTTATTTGAAAATTAAGTGAAATGTTCAGAAGTACTATTCCACTAAAAATCGCGGTTTTTAGTGAAGTAAGGTGCTCCGTACAATAAAAGGAACAGAGAATAGAGAATAAGAATTTCGACCTACCAGAAATCATGCATTGTGGAATACATAGTTTCTGATAAGTTGAAATTCTTATTCTCTGTTCTCTGTTCTCTGTTCCTTTTATTGTGCGGAGCCCCTAATGGTTGTCAAAGCGGTTGAAAAAGCTGTATTTAGAATAATTAATCACAATTTGGAACTGAAAACTCATATAAATTATATTCAGAATTAAAAAGAATACCGGACAATATAAAAACTTTAGAAAAGATTTCATTCTTTAGCGTAGATAATATATTGAAAAAGCCAAAAAACTTCTATAACTTCTCTTTGTCAAGAGTTTAAAAGTCAATATCAAATAACCAAATATCAAAATACTATTGAAACTCAATATGAAATAAATTTTATTAAATGGCAGAATGTAAATGATACGACAAAATTTTGACATGAGATTTCAAATTACAGAAACGCTGTTGGAGAAAATCCTTTTGAGAATCTTTGCAATCTAGCTCTGACATTTTAATTTTCGAATGCTGAAATTGAAAGGATTTTTAACCAATTAAACATTGTAAAAAATAAAACTTGTAATAAATTAAATTTGAAAATGATTAATTCTGACATTAATTTTGACATGTTATGGTTTACGAGGACAAATATTGTCATAATTATGATCTTGATGAGAAAACACTGAATATTATTGGAACAAAGGATGCATATCCACATAAATATGAATATTTTGAATTATTTTATACATATTTTTTTTACATCATTTTTTACATATTTTTGAATAGATAATGTACACCATTTTGTTGTATGTATATATAAACATAAAAAATATAAAAATGTTTTTCGTTTATTATATAAAAATATATTTTACATAAACATGTATACAAATAAATATTTTAGTAATAAAAATGTGTTTTCGTTTATTATATATTTAAAAAATATATTTTACATAAATATGTATACTATATAAATATGTAGTATCTGTATAAATACAAATATGTATTTTAATAATAAAAATGCATTTTAGTCTCGTTTATTCGACCGATTAATTATAGTTTCTTTGGCTTATAGTAGGCTTATTACATTATTTATACTTATTTATAAACCAAAACTTAAGTATTTATCCAATATAGGACGTTTATATTTTTTATAAATAAAAATATTTTTTGTAAAATTAAGCTTATTTCCGGAGTTTTTGAACTTCATTTAATGAATTATTTTTTTAGATTATTTTTTAGAGTTTTTTTTGTAAAATTTAGCTTATTTCTGAAGTTTTTTGGTAAAGCATTTAGTTGAATTTTAGAATTCAGAGTTGGCAACACTGGTTCCGTTCCAAAAATGGTTCCAAATTTTTTTTGCCGGTAGTGGCGCTGTTATAGTTGAAAACCTGACCGTCTTTCGTGGCACGAATATTTAAACTGCAGAAATGAAAGAATTGAAGGTAATTGTTTAGTTTCAGTCACTTAAAAATCCTTTTAAAAATCGATGCAGAAAATACTTATTCCGGTTTCACTTATATGTTCTCATGTCCTTTTACCGGCAAAAAAAATTTTTATGTCAGTCTACGCCATCGATGTGACAGATTTCCTAATCTGAATAGTCAACTTTAACGATTAATACCTTGATCCAGGGCAAACATTTCTTTTGCCATCATTCATTTCGTACGAAACCGTGTTGAATGAGCTATTAGGTGTTGGAATTAATTCGTAGCGTTTTACAAGTGATGGGAAGTACTTTCATTAATGTATTTTTTAATGCTCATGTGAAATAAATAACATTCTTTCATTAAAAAACGCTACGAATTAATTCCAACACCTAATAATTTTATCAACATTGGAGATGAAGACGCTAAACTCAATAATTACCGTACAAACTTTTAAAATTGTATAACCTGCAGTGTTTTGAAAAAAAGTTTTCTTTTTTCCTTGTTATCTATTGGTAGAAGTTAATATAATGTAGCACTTATTTACCATATTTACTTTTTATTTTTCACTGAGTCATTTTTAATTCGCATTATTCTTACTTCAATAATGTTATGAATGTCATACTTCCACATCACAATCGGATAAACGAGATTATCAGCGATAGAAGCGTCACGAATTTTTGTGCCGCTGCGGAGTCCACAGTAAATTGTAGAGATCTTATTCCTTTCTATTGCTCCGTGTCGATAGATATAGAACATAAAATGGCGACTTCCGACTAATTGGCATCACTCTCTTTATATTCACTTTAGTTCGTTTATTTATTCGTATGTGCGAATTGCACGCGTGCATGCGCGCGACGCGATCGAAAATTGACTGAGCAATCGACAATCACTTCCTATACATTTGTAAGTGATAAGTTGATATTCCTTCTGATCAATGTGATTCTTCGTCTTTTATTGCTTCGCAAACCAGATAAGTTGAAACTGAGCCATTGAGTATCCGCGATCCTTATGTGGTAAATAACAAAAAATAATATGAAGAATACAAAAGTTCAAAATAGTAATACAAACTCAGTTGCGCATTTGAAGCCGGTCTCACTTTTCAAAAATGATGACGCAATAATACGTCCGATCACGTCAGCAGACGATGAGCCAATTTGATTAATGTGATATTGGCTCGCTTCATACTATAGATTTGTTCGCGTCGCGTATTCTAATAATGGCTGCGTTCAGGAGAACGTTTATTTTGCAACTGTTGGAAGTTTTCTTCGCGCTTGGATTATGTATTTTTAGATCAAGAGGAATGATTCTATCTCAGCAGAGAATCATAAACAGTTGCAAAATTGTTGTGTTTTGCTGAACATAGCTAATATGCTCTAACCTTTAACTATAGAAACAGAAAGACTGCTGGCATATATATGTAATACTCCTATATTGCTAACGCAGCCTCTTTTTAGGAGTGAGGAATGTACGAAGACAGCGAAGATATGTTCGCACGCTTCAATTAGAATCCTTCTAGTCATAAAGGGCCAATTCCTAATTGGCCAGATTTCGAATCTCTTTAAACGCCGCTATTTGCAAATATAATACTTTCGACGTGGTAGTGAATTTGTGAATTGGTGTGAGCAACTGTTTCGTGGTGTAGAAGGCGCAAACGCGAAATCGGATTATCAATTGTCAACCATGATGGAATTGTGCTGTTTCCTGCCGATATGATATTCGGCAATGGCGTCTTTCCAGTCTTATGTCTTAACTCTTACTAGAGGAACTCTAGCTTCAATATGCCCAACACGCTCCAATATGCCTACTGTATACTGGACACGATAAACGATGAGCGACGAGCGATATCCAATGAGAGCTTTGGTTTGCGTCGTTACGTGAGAAAAAGCAGAGTTTTTAATTGGATATCGCTCATCGTTCATCGCTCATTGCGTCTAATGTAGGCTATACGTTCGCGTCATCGAAACTAATATGGCGACTAGATGTTCACGTCGCATTAGAGTATACCAATGTTGCCAACTCAGCTATTTTCTAGCTAGATCTAGCTATTTTTTTCTTCGATCTAGCTCGCAAAAATTGGGCGCGTTAAAGCGGCTAGATTTGCTTATCAAGCAATTAAACATGATTGTCCAGTAAACACTGTTTTTTGCAGTAATATAACGTGGAAATAACTAATAATATAACACAAGTTATTTTTATGATATAAAACTTTTACATATCATGCATATAATTATATAATATTACAACTCTTACAGTATGAAATACTGCAATTTAATATTGTTATATCAATGTTGTATAAATTTTTTCTGTACATATTATATAATTCAATTACAAAACATGATTATTGAAGAAACTTCTGATAGTTTAAAAACAGTTTCCAAACAATTATTATCTGTTGGACTAGATTATTACAGTAAATTAGATTTTAGCTTAAATTATATGTTTAGTTTACAAGCACGTATGCACGCACGCATACACACAAACACACATGCATACGAAAATTGCCCACTGATTTACCTAAAACGTGATAGTACTCAAGAAATAAAAATATAAGCATTTTTATTAAAATGAAGTAGTTTATTATATATTTTTAAATACTTTATTATATTTACAAAAGGCTAGATTTACAAAAAACTATATTAATAGAAAGATTGTGCCTCCACATGTATATAGAAGCATTAAATATACTCCAAATCTCGATTTGAAAAAATCTTCAACTAATAGGATGAATAATATTTGTGAAGATTATATTAAAAGAATTCTCTTCTCTTCTCTCTTGAACTCAATGATGCATATTTGTCGATTAATATTGCGAGAAATAGAACTTTCCATCTTGCTCGCATTGCTTCAAGGGGAATTTCTGTTAATATATTAAATAATTTTTTTCAATCTTAGGACAAAAAAATATATAACGAATTCTTATTTGAAAGAAAAAGGATCAACAAGAAGATTGCTTGGCAAAATTTGAAAAAAAGAAGGAAAAGAATGGGAGAGATGAGGGGCATTGAATACTTTTGGTTGAAACCATCATCATTAAATGATTGTGACAGTAATCAATTCTTTCTTAATAAAAGGGTTACCTCTTCGGAGAGAGACAACTTAGTTGATATTACTGTGTTCCCAAATGAATTTGAATACATTAAATGTTCATTAGTATATTTAAGAAAAAAATGGTTCATCAACTTGTCATTGGTTTCCATTCCAAATTATGTTCAATGCTTTTTGCAATTAGGGGAAAACTTTTCTCTTCCCAGTAGTTACAATAGGAAATTAATTTTTGAATTTATAAAAAACGTTGAATTTAATATAAAAAAATTACAGACGTCGTTACATAACTCTAATAATTAGAAATAATTCTATTGCAATAATTAATAGCCTTTTTTTTCTCAAACAAAAAAAGAATTTTGTAGTCAAAAAATTAAAAAAAAAACAACACGGTTAACCAAACAATTTTTAAAAAATAATAGTAACATTATTTTTACAAAAGCGGACAAAAGCAACTTAACTGTTGCACTAGACAAAAACATGTACATTGAAAGAATTAAAACAATGCTTGAGGATGAAGACACATACATGAAAATTCTGGAGGATCCTACAAGTAAAATTAACAATAACTTGAGGCAATTGTTGGCAAGATGGAAAAAACAAAATTACATTTTTGAATCAACGTACAGACAACTTTATTATAGTGATGGTAACATTCCTAGGACTTACGCGCTACTAAAAGTGCATAAAGTAAATTGCCCATTTAGAATCATCATATCTTCTTTGGATAGTACATTATATTAGGTGTTGGAATTAATTCGTAGCGTTTTACAAGTGATGGGAAGTACTTTCATTAATGTATTTTTTAATGCTCATGTGAAATAAATAACATTCTTTCATTAAAAACGCATTCTTGTATGAATTGATTGTCAAAAACATATCTAAGACTGCTAGTAACATCGAGAATAGTTTTGAATTAATTCGAAAACTAAAAAACATTAAAATTGATCATGGTTTTTGTTTGTCGTTGGATGTAATATCGCTTTTTACCAACATTCCACGGATCTGGTATTAGATACTCTTTTCAATAGATAGGCCTTTGTTTGCAAAAATTGCAATTTACCGAAAGATGAATTTCTCAAAGCAGTTCGCTTAGTGTTGGATTCGACTTATTTTATTTTTGACAATCGATTTTATAAACAAACATTTGGAACGCCTATTTCACCGCTTTCCCCAATTGTAGTTATGATGGATTTGAAGAATTGGGTGTTGAGTGATATTCAATATCATATACCATTTTATTACAGATATGTGGATAATATTCTTTGTTTACCGAGTTCTAAAATCGATTCTATTCTTGAAAAATTCAATTCATTCTATCCAAGGTTGCAATTTACTTTGAATGGTAATTCTATCAATTTTTTGGACACAACTATAATGTTAAAAAATAACTCTTTGATATTTGACTGGTACCAAAAACCAACATTTTCAGATAGATTTTTGAATTTTTTGTCTCAGCAAAATTCAATCTTGCAAAAGAAGAGTATAATCTTCAATTTGATAGATAAAGTTTTTTATATTTCGCATTCACAATTTCACAAAAAAAAATTTTGAATTTGTTATAATGATACTTTTGAAAAACGATTATTTCATTGGATTTTATTTTTGATACTATTAATGCAAGAGTTAAAACATTAATAAGTAAAATTAAATTCTAAAATTAAATTCTTGTTCAATTAAAATTAAATAACAACTTACCTAAAGAACGGATGAAATGATTTTCCATACCGTATGTAGAAGAAATATCGAACAAATTTAAGAATATAATTAATAGGATTTGCCATAGGGTTTCTTTTTTCAGTTTGAACAATTTATTAGTGAATCAATTTATTAAGATTCATAAAAATTCTTTAAATGATAATTTAAAAAAGAATGTAATCTACAAAATCAATTGTTGTGATTGCGATGCTTCCTATGTAGAACAAACGGGGAGGAAATTAAAAACCAGACTTTCTAAACACCGAAAGGATATCCATAGTCAAACATCCAGTCATTCGGTGATTACAAACCATAGGTTGCAAAACGATCATAACTTTGATTGGCAAAATTCTGAATGTAGAGAATTATTATAACAAACGATTGATATCGGAGATGATTAATCGCACATTAATCGACGGACCAATGGGCTAAATTTACAACATGATACTGTTGCCTTAAATCATGCTTACACTGAGATTCTAGTAAACTGTAGATTGTTCAATATAATACATATCATAACTATAGTTTGTTTGATCATTATGTTACTTGTTTAGCAATCATTTTTCAACCGATGGTCGAAATGACAAAACACAAATAGTTCTCTCAGTTAATGTTTTAAAATTTTGATGATAATTTTTAATTTATTAACAATGTACAAAATGTTTCATATGACATATTTATTGTTCAGTATTGAGGCGTCGATTGTGTGATGATTATTAATTTTCAAATCATATACATACTATTTCAATTAGTTATATATAATTTTAATTTGAGTTCTCATTGCCACTCAACTTTCAAACTTTGTAAATATGTGACTTACCTCGCAACAGTTAGCGGTTCAATTTTTTGAGAGGAAAAATGTTGGAGATTTAATTTATAATGCAATAATCTAACCGTTGTGTTAGGGGGGAAAGATTGCTGATAAAGACTCAAATCATGAGTGGAATTCGTCCAAAGTCAAGATTTATGTATTTAATATTAAGAATTGCGCTAATTGATCAACGTTGACTTCTATCCTGTACTACATGTTATATATTTATAAATTTGTTCAATTAAAGGAGTCTAGGATAAACTTATTAGTTTAGTGTTATTTTGTAATTTCTCACTTTATTATATGTTATTACATATATTATAACTTTACAATACTACTGTGTACAATACTCTACTGCAGTGTAATAATATTACTTAAAAATATATTTTCAAGTAATATTATTACACTGCAGTAGAGTATTATATACAGTAGAATTGTACAATTATATATAGCACACATTTTGTATAAATCAGTAATCGCGGATTTAGTATTATTACAAGATCTGGAGAAAAAGACATTGAATATTTTAATTTTCCATATCCCTTTTACATTCAGTACATAAACATTGACATTGCAATGGGAGCTTCAACAAAAAAAAAAATATTACAAGTTTTCAATTCGTTTCATCTTTAATTACAGTTCACGATTGAAATTGGTGGGAACAGATTAAATTATTTAGATATTATCAAGAATAAAAATATTCTTGAATATGGTTGGTACCAAAAACCTTTTTCCGATAGGTATCTAAATTTCTTTTCTCAGCATCTTATTTCGCAAAAGAGAAATATATAGGAATGATTAATAGGACCTTTTTGCTATTTCAACTTAAATATCATATTGTAAAAAGAATTTGATCTTTGTCATTGAGACACTTTTAAATAATGACTATCTGATTGATTTTATTTTTAACACAATTGATGAGCGCCTAAAATCTTTATTGAGTAACAAAACCTTAAAGAAAAACATGAATGATACTTCCGATGAAGATATTGTTAAGAAGTCATGGTTTATGATTTCATTTGTTTCAGAGATCTCATACAAATTCAAGGATATAATTAAAGATCTGATGTTGACCTTGTATTTTTTAGTTTGAACAAGCTTAATTCTTTTATTAAAACACATAAAGATCTTTTACTTAATAAAGCAAAAAAGAATGTAATTTACAAGTTATATTGCAAGGATTGCGAAGAATTACCTCCTACGTCAGATAGGAAAGACTTTAAAAACGAAAATCTCGAAATATTGTAATGATATTCGAAGGAAATGAGTAATTATTCTGTTATTATCGAATACAGATTGGATCTAAACCATGATTTTGATTAGGAACGCACAGAAATTGTTGATCAGGAGCGGTTTTTATACAAATGACATATCTCGGAAATGCTACATATTTAGTTGCAAAAAAACAATCTTAATTTGCAATCTGACACCGGAATGTTTACATCATTCATACATCTCGATTCTCAATAATTTACACTGCGCGCCGTTTTTGTTTTTATTATATTTAAATAGCAGTCTGAAATATGTTGGTATTCGTTTTATTGTACTTATTAGTTTGTGCACGGTGTATTATCTTTGATTCGTTTGAATATTGACCGTCACAATATTTGGAACAATTGTAGTGAATTTATATCGCTAAATATGAATAATTTGCGGTTGTAGTGAATTTATATCGCTAAATATGAATAATTTGCGGTTGTAGTGAATTTATATCGCTAAATATGAATAATTTGCGAATTTGTCTTTCGACTTTGATTGATTTTTTATGTTTACGTCTTTCATTGCTATATGGATAAGTGCATTAATTTTTCTTTATAAAAAATATTGGTAATGTTTTTTATATCTACACAGATTTTTATCTATTAATTATTGCCACTGGAATTGTTAACTGTTGCCAATAGAATAAGGAGATTGAGTTGCCACTCTACCGTCTCGCCATGAAGAAGTGAGAATTTTACAACATACGTTCAAACATACTGATGATGGCTCGGAAGCAGGCCGAAACGTTTATGTGTAACTAATTATACTATTATATTTTTTCGACAATAAACGATTTTTATTTTCGCATTAACAACCGCGCAAAAAACTCTCATTGGCCTTTGTTTGTTTTGTTTATATTTAATTAATGATGTACTAAAGGAACTATTGTATATTTTTCAAAATTAGTATTAGAAATTGCTAACTTTAAACATTTTGTTTGCACCTTTTTAACTGAAATAGTAATAAGTTCAAAAGCGCAAAAGGATTATCGATTACAAATATATTTAGATTTTGAGAATCACAAAATTATAAAAAAAAAGACTGACTATTAATAATTCTCCTATCGCAAAGGTATATATCATTTTTATACATCATATCGTAACAATTGTAATAAAAGTCATAATTTCATTAAAAATTGCAATACATTGTCTTTTATTTTAAAAATATTTTATATATATATATATATACAGAATGTAGAAAAAGTCCCCTTAAATATCTTGAAAAGTAATCATTTTTGAGAAAAATATTTTATACAAAAGTTGTAGGGTTGAAAATGATCTATTAACTGACCATATCAATTTGACCTTGGATGGCACCACCAAGGTCAAATCAAGGTCAAATTTTTTTAAACAAAACACCCTATTTTTTATTTTAGAATCTAATAGCTCGGGAGCTTTCCAAAACACTATAATAAAGCTTCTTTTTAATCAGTACTTTTCC